TTTTACTATTGTACCATATTGTCTCCCACCTTTACAAACCTTTATGCAAGTTGACAAATCATTTATGAAGATTTCCATTCTACCCTCCAACGAATCTTTTCATTGCCTATATAAAGGAGACTTGGAAGAATGAATGAAGTTGTTACACTACACTAGTTTACGAGAATTCACAATGCTTTTGCTGAACATAATATTCTTGTGAATATAGTATAGAAAACACACATAAAGCTTTTGTCCATTTTTGTGTGATTATTTCATTATACTTAAACTTTGTGTAATTTGTTTTCTTAGAAGCGACTTTGTAAACACATTTCTTGTATCTCATTGTTTAAGGTTGTATTCCTTGAGAGACTAGGGGAAACAATCATGATTCTCGAAAAGACATTTACAAGTAGTCTTTGTGTGTCTATAATCAGTTAATTATAGTGGATTAAGTCCTTGTTGATAAGGAGAAATCACCTTGGCGGATGGACTAGGACTAGCTTCGTTAACAATAAACTAGGATAAAAATATCCGCGTTCATTTATTTTTGTTCTTGTTTGATCTTTTAGTGTCTTGGGTGCGAAAAAGCTTTATCTTAGAAACCCAATTCAAACCCCACTTTCTTGTGTTTCTTGTCACCTTCAACTACTTCGTATGTTGGTGTAATTTATGAAAGGTAGAGAGGGATCCACACCCTCCTCTAGGTTTTCTTGATGTGTAACTATGTACTCGTGATGTAATGATTGCATAAATTAGTATGTGAAACCCGATTTTGGCATTTTTATTGTTAATGTGTTGTGTTAGTGATGATGAACATGAAAGTGATTTTCATGATGCATTGTTGATGATGTTAAATTGGTGATGTTAGATGTTAGTTGGTAGGTTTAGGATGTAATAACAGTAGATAATTGATATAAGATATTAGATTTTCGAAATAAGTTGTTATGGCATGCTAGGGTGTGTTTGATTGGGTGTTAGGAATAATTGGTTTTGCTGAACGTGTTGTAAAATTGGTAATTTTGAAATAATAGCTTATGTCAATCGATTGCACCATAGTGTCAATAGACTGATCCTTCTAAAAATTTGAAAAACCGAAAGCAATTAATTGATTAATTGGAAGAAGCAACCGATGGCATCAAGCCAATATGTGAAAAATAAAACAAATAAAATGTATAAGAAAGTGAGAACAAATGATTGATGGGTGATGAGAATCAATTGATGCTATTAAAAAACGTGAAAAATAGGCATAAGAGCGATAACAATCAATTGATGGTCCCTTTCAATTGATTGCACATGTGTAATTTTTTTCAAATATTGTTTTGATCATAACTTGAGATTTCCGACTCCCTTTAGAGCGCAGTTCGAAGCGTTGGAAAGCTAATGTGTAACATTTTCCCCCATTAATGTTTTAGGGAGCTGAATGTGAATTAATTATATGGTTATAATGTTTTATTTAGGTGCAATGTTTGGAATGTGTGATTGATTCAAGATGAATTGTTAAGATAATTGATGATTAATTATATGGAGAGTACATTATCGTTATGTATTGTGGTGGTTGTTTCGAATGGGGATTTATGTTGTTACTATGTTGCATGTTATTTATGGTTTGAAGAGGGATCATAATCATGTTATTTTTATTGTTGTATAAATTGTATGCCATACATCTTTTGTGTCATTTTTGTGAAAGAGACGAGTTACAAGTCTAGAGGGGTGGGCGAGTAATTTGTGTCGAGTCTAGAAGGGTAGACTCGGGGTTTAGAAGGGTGAACCCGGTTCATATGAAGAACCATCATTGATTAGTACGACATGCATGGTGTTGATGTTGTGAGTCACATTGCATGCATGTGTATATATTATGATGGAAAAGTGTGAGATTGTAATAATGTGGTTTGTGTATTGAATGATTGATGTGTTAGTGTCTATCAACCCTCACATTCTTTACGTTATTTTATATAGAAGTTTATTCTCACCTCTTTTGCTTTATCTTGTCCACCATGGACCTCTTGCAGATAATCGGGAATAGAGTTTTGTTGTTGTGAGTGGAAGATAGCTTATTGGAGCTTACTTTCGTTTATTCATTATTCTATTGTATTTTAGTGATTTAGTGATTTGATCTTGTAACATCGGGGATGTGACACTTTTGTTATGTCTTGAGTTGGTGTCGAATTGTGATGTTAAAGTTTAATACTTTATTTGAGAAGTTCAATTTGAAGTTTTTATTATGTTAATTTTCGTTGCATGTTGTTAAATGTTTTTAAAAGTTTTGTTAGCTGGTTATCGAAGTGACACCTTCAATTGTCGAGTAATTCTTTTTATATAAGTTTCAGGGTTTATGGTATTACACTAAAATATTGATAGGTCCCAAGTGCATTGTTCTATTAGAGTATTATAAAAGTGTCGTCCAACCGAGATCTATTTAGAGTACAAATTTGCTTAAATTTTTAAAGTTCTAAGATTGATTACAATATTTATGAAGTTAAATTTAGGACTATGATTTCTGCTTTGAACTTGGTCACGTAAACTATTGTTTATCTATATGTTATGAGAATTTGTGTGTTTGCATCAATGAATAGATAAAAGTGATCATACTTCCTTTTAATACTGTATGATATTTCCTTAACCAAAGAATCACATACTTTTATAACATGATTCATTTGTTCAAGATCCTCTAAGAAAAAAATCTTTTTCAAAAGAGTTTTTCTCGATTAAACCATAGAAACTTTTGTAGCCTTGATTTAACAGTGTAGTCTTTCCAGTTCAGAAATGAGTCATACTCTTTCAATATACAACTAATATCTTATAATATATCTACTTTCATAAAAATATTTATGTTAATCCTAAAAGGCCAAAGAAAAATTATAAATTCTCATAGCAATGCATTGAACTCGAACTAGGTATTTAGAGATGGAATTCTCACCTCTGGTAATGGATTTGAGTTCCGAATGGAATTCACGAGATTTCACGTTGGTGTGCGCGAAGACGTATTTGTGAATCTCAGCTCAGATCTAATGAGATTGCACACATCGAACAACGCGTGAAAACATCAAATCCGAAGTAACAAATGCCAAACTTTCAAAATCATTGGTGCAATCTTCATTGCTCAAATAACACGGTAGAATTTCAAGATTAACGAGAAATCGATGAAGATTGTGAGTATAAATAATACCTTCTATCTGTTGTTTTCATGATCGGAAGTTGTTTTCGTTGAGTTTGAAAGTTACTTGTTGCGTGAAGGTTTTGAAGATGTTCTTCAAGTTGAAATGCGACACCGATGGCGTTTTACACGCCGTATTCTTTATGGTATTTGCAAAATTCTCATCGAAAACCATGACCGAAGATCATATTTAAGTTTTAGATTCCATATTAGAAACAAAGTAAGTAAAATAGAGTGAAAGAGAGAAAAAGAAAAAAGAGAGAAATTTTGTTATGAATTGAATATTAGTTATAGTTCAATTAAATCTGAACATTGATACCTAATCCTACCACTTCAATAAATAACAAAAAAAAAAATTTCAAAAGAATTTAATACTATTATGCATATAAGACCGAATTTAAATACTGACATTTAATTAAATTAAAAGAAATTCTTAGTAATTATAAAATTATTCTTAGTATTCAAAAGAAATCCTTAATAAACTTTCTTACAAAAGAATTAGTAACTATAAAATTATTCTTAGTATTCAAAGAAATGAAATCACAAAGTGTAAGAATTTAAAAAATAAAAAATGATGTCTATGTAAAAAAATTGCACAACTATTCCATTTTAATTATACGCTTCCAAAAATCTTTATTTTCTTAAATACTAATTATTGCCTTTCATTCACCTCTACAGTAAATAGTTAAGATATTATTGAAAAAATAACTGTTTTTATTATTTTGGAATACTTTCACACACTAATTGAATTTTGGTTCTCTATTTTCATTTTTATTTTTATTTTTTGTTTTTATTTTAAAATTTGGAATTTTTACCTTTTTTTTTTTTTAAATCTTTTTACTATTTTAAAATTCAAAATTTTGATCTTTTTATTTTAATTCTTTTATTCCTTTTTCACTTGAAAAGAGAACTAAAATCTAAAACAAACTTAAAATAGAAAATCAAAAATAAAATAAAAATAGAGAGATTAAAATTCCAAATTTTAAATTAAAAATTAAAAATTAAATTAAAATTAAAAACAAGAAAATCAAAATTCTAAACTTTAAAATAAAAACTAAAAAACTAAAAATAAAGGACCAAAATTATAATTAACCCTTAAATTTTAAAAACACCAATAAATAAGAATATTTTTCTTTTTCAAAAATAGATTTCAAAATTAACAGAAGGAGTAAAATATTTGTAAATGGTATTTTTTTTATTTTATTATAAAAATTATATAAATTGAATCATCAGCGTTTTCTGCGTGCGCAAAGTCGCTGGTTTTGGTTCCCAAATTTTCATGTGTGCTAAATTTCTTATCTTTCCAATTAAATATAATCCAATTAGGGTTTTCAAAGTCTTCTCCTTTTCTTTCGTTTTCCAATCCCCAATTTCCAACGATCCCCCAATCAAGTAACCAATCTTTCCCTTCACCTCTTTCAATTTTCAATTTTTCTTTTAATTATCACAATGCTTTTACTTTTTCTGAATTTTGGGGTTTAATTGGGTTTTTGGGTATTCTTAGTTTATCCTTCAACAATCTGTTAGGTTATTGTAATTGCAATTGTAATTGTAATTGTTTATTATGGGTTCCTATCATTGGAATTGTATATTTTATCTTATTCATTGGTCTCCCATAATTCCTTGTTCTTTTTTGTATCAGCTGCAGCTAGGTTGGTCATAAGGTACATCAGACTTTATATCATATGCTAATTCATAAATTCATTGGATTTAATTGGACTGACATTTTTCTGGAATTTGATATCAACAAACAAACATTTTTTGATTTAACCCGATAGAATAGAAGCTAATGGAGTTGTAGTTTCTGGGTATTTTTGATTTGGGGCTGGTGGCATAGAGAAAGTGTTCCTTCATTTTGAGGGATATGTTACACATGGCTCCAAATCTGAAGTTAAGATTAGGGGTTTCCTTGTTGTTTATACTGTTGAGCTTTCTTGTAATTGGAAATTCGAATGCGGAATTAGAAAATGAAGTTTTGCATAGTAAGGTAAGAGCTGCTCCACATAAGGATGTTGGATCCGTTGTAATTGATGGTACTGGTGTAGAGAATGCCTATAAGGTTGAGAATGGAAATAATGTGGTGGGTAATAAGAAGGGTGGAAGCAATAGAGTTTCGGTTTCGACGGTTGCGTTATTTACATTGGCAATGGCAGCTGCCACTGGTTTAGGTGCAGTGCCCTTCTTCTTTGTAGAACTTGATCCGCAATGGGCTGGGTTGTGTAACGGAATGGCTGCAGGTGTTATGTTGGCTGCAAGTTTTGATTTAATACAGGAAGGGCAGGAGTATGGTTCTGGAAGCTGGGTTGTTACTGGAATTCTAGCTGGTGGAATCTTTATTTGGCTATGTAAGAAGGTGATAATGATTATTCTTGTTCTCTGTCTGCCATTCTTTCTCCATTGTTGTTATTCCTCAGCAGTGATACTATGCACGTATATATATGTATATGTCTTGTGATGTTTTGATACTACACTATTGATATAAATAAGCTCTATATCCTTGGCGATTTTTTGTCAAAAAAATAAATACTAGGGGTTTTCTTATTCACATCACATTTGCATTGTGCAAGTCATTCATATTGATTTTTGGTGAAATTTCAAACCAATCTACTCAAGGAACAGGAATGTTAGCAAAATTTATGAACTAATCAGTTACTAAAAGTATCATGTATATGACCTTGTCTTTCTCTATTTTTTCAGGATGCATTTTTGTTGGTTAATTTTCAAATTTTACTAGTAGAGTATATTTTAGATTTATAGTATTCTCATTTTTGTCTTGCATGGATTTCAGTTTCTTGAGCAATACGGGGAAGTAAGCATGTTGGATTTAAAAGGTGCTGATGCAACCAAAGTTGTTCTTGTTATTGGAATAATGACTCTTCATTCTTTTGGGGAGGGATCTGGGGTTGGGGTCTCCTTTGCTGGCTCAAAGGGTTTTAGTCAAGGCCTGTTGGTAACCTTGGCTATTGCGGTACACAACATACCAGAGGGATTAGCTGTGAGCATGGTGCTTGCATCAAGGGGTGTTTCTCCACAGAATGCTATGTTATGGAGCGTAATTACATCTCTACCGCAGGTAAACTCTAATTTAAGCTTTAGTAATCCTACATCGTTAAAAAGAATATTATTCTGACTTTATTTGGCACATCACTTTGAAGAGTTTCCTTTTTACATTTTATACAAATCTTGATTAATACCATCAGCCACTCATTGTAAGCCTCGTGCCCCTGCTCACATTATCCACGAGAACAAGGTTATGATTGGATAGCTTGTGATTGTTTCACTCTATTTAGCTATATATTTTATCATTTTTTAATGGTGAATATTAGTGTAGTTAATATCATGTTGAGGGCGGGGTTGAACCCTAAACCTCTGTTGAATACTGACTTGATACAAAGGACTAAACCCTGATCCCTATTTAAAGGAATACATTGACTATACTCTAAATCAAGAGAAAATCATAATAAAATAATTGTTGTAGTAGTATCTGTAGCTGTGTTTTTCACAAATTGGCTATATCATTCAATCTAAAGGGACAGATCTGTCTATGTACTATGGTATCACTTAGACACTCAGATTTGGTAGTGTCTTTTGAGTTATTAATAATCCTATAAGTAATGGAATCACATCTATGGGGAAATTTCTTATAATGTGAAGTTGCATTGGCAGTACATACCTAATATAGGTTGCTTTTTTAATGACGAAACTTTAACTTTAAGCTAGTCTAGCCTAATTAATATTGTTAATAGGTCTATTTATGTATGACTATATGTTGCAGACACAAACACTGGCCTAGACACACTGATGTCTTTGACTGTAGCCTCTTAATATCTTACTCTTAATGTTAATGCAGCCAATTGTAGCTGTTCCTTCTTTCATTTGTGCGGATGCATTCAGCAAGTTTCTTCCTTTTTGTACGGGATTTGCTGCTGGATGCATGATTTGGATGGTTATTGCTGAAGTACTCCCTGACGCATTCAAGGTTATTTACCTTTATAATCTTACACCAACAATATTGTGATGTGTTTGTTTACAATAGCATTTTCGAGATGTAAAAGTTTATTTTTGTAACTTTACTATTTTAATTTTTTTTAGTTGTTGTTGAGAGAGTAAGTCCTCAATGCTTAAGCTATTAAAGAAAGGCTATGTATAGTTTTATATCTTTTACTGTTCTTCTAAAGCAAATCTTCTTTTCGCGTAATGTGTTAACAGTGTTCTTTTTCTAAACCACTTTACCATGTGTTGAAATTGAATTCTTAACAATTGGGATGACAAGGATTAAATTGCTGACCTCTTGGATAACATGTTGAAATTATAAGATGGAATCAGAAGAATAGAAACCCCAAATAATTGATAAAATGATATGATATGATTGTGACGAAACACTAGCCTAATTCTCTTTATTTTTATATATTAATAATCTAGGCCATGTACCATCCAGCTCAACCCTTTATGAGCTCACATAGCATATGAATAACCTTTATATTCTGAGCATGAAATGTGTCTTTTTCTTTGTGGTAGGAGGTTAACCTTTTATATAATCCTTCTCTTCACGGAATTTGCAAGACTTCATCTCCTTGAGGCATACATACATTTATATGCTATTATCTTCTGTTTATCTTTTGTAGAGTTGTCTATTTATATATATCTAAATCATCTTCTCTTTCTTTTTGGCTATAGGAAGCTTCACCTTCGCAGGTTGCATCAGCTGCAACCCTTTCTGTAGCATTTATGGAAGCTCTCAGCACCTTCTTTGAGAACTTCACCCATGATTACAAGTGAGTTTGTGTGTGTGTGTGCCCGTGTATATATATAGTATTATCAGTTATATTTTGTTGTTTGGGTTTGTTTCTTTGACAAATAATGTTAAGTTTTCCCTTTGCGTTTGACTGATGATTTATTTGTTGCAGCTCTGAGGATGCTTCTGGCTTCTTTGTTTCATTACTTTTTGGCCTTGGCCCGTTCCTTGGCGGGATTTTACTGGTTGCATTTGCTCTTGCTTTTCATCTCAAGCACGCTCTTCTCATGGGCACTGCTTGCGGTATTGCCTTTGTCCTTGGTGCATGGCGACCCTTACAGCTTATTTTGTCTTCAAAATTGGGACTTATTCCCGTCACTTCTCTCCTTGCAATGGGAGCCGCTTTGATCCACATGTCTTCTTCTGGTGTATTGAAGCTTGCTGCTTCAAAAAAAACCTCAGCCCATAGCTTACCTACAATCACCGGCTTCCCACTCAGTATTCACACCCTTCAATCTTTCATATCATGTGGCACAGTTGCTTTTCACGCTCTGGCCGAAGGACTTGCATTGGGAGTGGCTGCACCAAAGGCATATGGCCTTGGTCGTTATATGGTCCTTCCAGTCTCCTTACACGGGCTTCCTCGTGGTGCAGCTGTGGCTAGCTGTATATTTGGAGCCACTGATAGCTGGCATGGTTCTCTTGCCGCAGCTGCCATAATTGGATTCATGGGTCCGATATCTGCAATCGGAGCTATTCTTAGTGGTATTGATTATAGTGGTCTTGATCACATTATGGTTCTTGCCTGTGGGGGATTAATCCCTAGCTTTGGCAGTGTAGTTAAGAGATCGCTTAGTTTGGATAAACGGAAAAGCACTTTGGGCCTTATCATAGGTATCGGTTTTGCTACTTTATGTCTAACATTCACTAGATTGGTTTGCTTACACACACCATACTGTAATTCTGCGCCAGAGGCTGTTAGATAAGACATTATATGCTGCATTTCCCGCTTGGTCTTTGATTATTGTTCCTGCAACATACACTTCTTTAGTTCAATCTCTCAAGATATGGTTGCACAAATTTGACGAGATTCTCAATGAAGAAAGAAACTAGAAACAGCAAATGACAAGTGGAAGTTCCACACGAAGAAGGGAGAATCTACCGAGTGACCAAGTTTTAATTCAGAACTTGTCCATGTGTAATATTTTAGTGTTTACTTGTATATAAGGTTTTACACATGATTTAACTTTGTTTTATAGTGTAAAACTATTGAAAAGTGGATCATGTATTATTCTCTTTTTTTCTTTCTTTCTCCCTTTTATTGGTCTTATTTGTTTGTTTAACAGAACCCTGAGTAAAATGATATTTGAGTTATGATGTTTGCTTTGGGATTGTGTTATCGAAGATTTAGGACTTCTTTTTTTCCTTCCGAAAATACGTATAAAAATCAAATAAATTATGGATAGTATTGCAGAAAATGTTATGCCTGTAATACTAGTAATTGGTCTATAATTTTGCTTTCCTGCAATATATTGCAGAAAATGTGCTTGTGGAACATTTTGAATAGTATATTATATCTTGTATTTTGAATTTGTCTTTATTATTAATAGAATTTGCTTAAAAAATAAATCATGCAAAGGAAATGTTTGCTGCAGAAAAATGATAACCTCCATTTTAAATTTGTTTGCAAGTTGAGAATTTTTTTTTAATATAACAACTATTTAAAAAAAAAATTCAAACAAAATAAAAATTCAAACAATTTTCTAAAGTGACCAACATTCAACCTTAGGTGGTTTGGTTGGGTCGCCAAACCATTTGGCGAATGCACCTCCCTTTGTAAAGAGTCGTCAGTCTAAATGGCGAATTAGTTTAATGGCCTTCAACAGATTCGTCAATCCAATTGATGAATCAGGCCTGTTCACTTTTTTTTTTTTTCGTTTTCAATTTTTTTTTTTTTTATTTTTTTTTTATTTTTATTTTTATATATTTTTTGTTTTATGTGATATATTTAAATTGATTTAGTTCCACATTGTATTTAAATTATCAAACACACATAGTAAAAAAATATTTCTTCCACATTGTATTTAAATTCTTTTCATTTTATTTGTTTATTATTTTAATATTTTTTGTTTTTCATAATTTATATAAAAACTTTTCTATTTAATTAAAAACTTATTTATTTAATTGTTTCATATTTTTATATTTTTTGTTTTTTTATAATTGATATAAAAAAATGGATAGAATTTAAATAATATAAATAATCTAAAAAAATAAATGGAAGAAATATTAAAATATATTAATTTACAATAGAATATAAATTACAATTGAAAAAAAAAACTAATGGCCGACTCTATCCAAACGATCACCGGTGCCACATTGTGCAGGATGCGCGCGACGACGAGGTCTACCACGAGGGTGTTGAGGTGTGTCTGGTCTTTGGGTGTTGAGTTGTGGAAGAGGTATTTGTTGGGACGTCCCCGACGTATCAGATAAATTTTGAAGCATTTGACCCCAATAGTCGGGAGGTCCATTATCAACGACGCTTCCGTAGTTAAGCCCAATGCCCATGTGTTCGTAGGATTGTCGGGGAGGTTGAGTGGAGTATGGACGATATGGTTATCCGAATTCGTACATCGAATCGGGTTGGAAAGGGTGTGTTGGTTGTTGCGGGATTTGGTAGTCAAACAGTGGATAGGTGGATGGGGTAGGGTCTGTTGCGGTGAGAATCGTGATACCAAGCTATTGATTAACTTGAATCTTAATTCTTAAATTCACAACTGGACTTTAATTTATCCAAAGGAAAGGTCTAAAGAAAGAAAGAACCTTTTGCGCGATGTAACAACAACGCTAAGAGATTCGGGGATCGGGGGTTGGTTATGCATAGGGTAGGTATTTCACATCCTAAACATCTGTAGTACTCTACGGGAACCTTTTGTTTGTTTGCATGCTAAGTTTGTTAAACGTTTGTTATGGATTGGGATTGGGTAAAAGGTGTAGGTTAAGACCTAAAGATAGTTTCTAAGTTTGCTTGCAAAGACCTCGCATCTTCAGCCTACGTATCCTTACTAGGATAGAATCAGAGCAATCGTAGTTCACCTCACTAAGGTTGAAGAACACTTGATTATGATCAAGGTTCAAAGGGGAACAAACATATCCATGCTTGTGTAGAGTTTATCCAAACTCTCTAGATCTATGTTGAACTCTCAAGAAAGGAAAGTAAGTAATCATATCCATGATTCTTACATAGAGTTAACCAAACTCTATCCTAAAGTTCTACGTGTGAGACCAATTGGTTCTATCCAGACCAAAAGGTGGGAGAAAGGGGAAGGTTGCTCATCAAGATATCGCATCTTGTGCCTACGTATTCTCATTATCCAATGAGAAATTAGAGCGGTCGTAGTTCGGGCACGAACTACAGAATAAGGATCTATTGGTTCTTTCCAAACCAAAAAGAGGGAGAAGGCTCTATCTAGGCCTAATGAGTTAAATCCCATTGGTTCTATCCAGACCAAAAGGAGGGGAAGGTTCTATCCAGACCTATGATGTTAATCCTATTGGTTCTATCCAGACCAAAAGGGGGGGAAGGTTCTATCCAGACCTATGATGTTAATCCTATTGGTTCTATCCAGACCAAAAGGGGGGAAGGTTCTATCCAGACCTATGATTATGTTGAGCTATCTATGACCCAAGGGTCAATATAGAGGCTTTCCTTTGGAAGGAGAGGGGGAGGCAACCGGACGAGAACTAAAGAGTTCCATCACCTTGGGGAAATAAACTTAACAAAGCAAGTGAATAAAGCAAGAGGAAAAAGATTACAATCAAGTAAGCGTGCATATTACAATAAGCAAGTATTTTCAGTCAGGATGAATTGTTATAACCAAAGCAAGCATTTAAGATATTACAATATCGGGAAATGATTTCAATCACGATAGATGGTCAGAACCAAGAACAAATCTTAACAAAGATGGAAGGGGATCTTATCAAAGACGAAAGTATATCTTAACAAAGATGGGAAAAGATGAAAGTTACAACCATGTAAACAAATCACAATTTGAAAGTAAACATGTTATAAATTCAAGATATATCAAGTGTGACAACAATATGTATTTGATGACAATCAAGCACAAGTAAATTAGTTTAATCTCATAATTTAGGAGGAAATCATCTTAACAAAGATTTGAGGCATAATAAAGGTAACCACCATATGAATAAATCACAATTTGAAAGTAGGCAAGTCATAAGTTCAAAGCATGGTAAATGTGACAACAATGTGCATAGATGACAATCAAACACAATTAAATCAGTTTAAATCTCATAATTTAGGAGGAAATCAAAAATAAGATTATGGTGACAACCAAAGCAAGTATATTATAATATCATGAAATGGGGAAGTTCTTACAAGACTAAACACAAAGGGTGAAAACCACAGACATATCTTGACAAAGAATGGGGTGCATCTTAATAAAGATGGAAGGGGATCTTAACAAAGATGCATCTTAACAAAGATGAGGCTTCAATAGGGCTTACAAGATGACGTGTATACTTACAGGCATCATGCCTAAACAAATAATGTCACAACAATGTAAGGAGAAAAATGGATATAAATGGTTACAACCAAGGGAGAACAAGCCCTAACATGTTAACTAACATATGGGAAATAAACACAAGCAAAATCTCACAAGACCGTTCAAGCGTGATTTAAAGGAATATGACAGTATGCGAGATAACAGTCTTAACAAAGAACCAAAATTTCACATAGACAAAAGGTATCATAATCATGAACAATTTGGAATATTTTTTGCATCACATGAAATTAGACATTAAAATAAGCGTGTTGCAAAAAGAATGAGTTAAAAAGGATGAAAAATGAACAAGTTACAAATATTTGAAGTTGAAATGATTTATGACAAAAAAACCACACAAATGAATAAAAATAAGGAGAAAGGGCCAAGCTGGGAGTTGAACCCAGGCCCTTTTGTTTACAAACACACACATCAACCACAAGGGTACACACATGCGCTGGTTATGAGAATGGAAGGAGTGAACAAAATGAAATTCAACACAATTGGAAAATAAAACAACAAAAAGGGTTGATCCCAAGGATCAAACCCTAGTTTGGCAAGTGAAAGGCGCATGAGAGAGTAAGGTTTCTACCACTGGGGTGGCTATACATCCATGTATTTAGCCACCCCCATAAATATATATGGCATATTTTTATGGATTTCTGGGCAACTTAAACGCAGCAAGAACAAGGAACAAACATGGATGCATTTTGATTCACAACTTGGCCAAAACTCCATCAAATTTAACAAAACAAAAGTCTATCTTGAGTGGATTTTAACAAGGATTATGATGGCATAAATGGTTTTTCAAAACAAGGCATGGAAAATAAAACACAATGGCAGTTGCAAATATGATGTTCAAAATGCATATTGATGAACATAAGCTGAAACAGTGAGGATTAGAATTGAAAAAAAACTTGAGCAAACCATGAAGGTGATATAGAAAGTGTTCTAACAAGAAATTGATGTAAAGCAGGCCTGAAATGAGAACTGGTATATGAGTTGCAATGTGTACATGGTATGATGCATTTGAGAAACCAAAACACATATGGAACTGATTCAAACTAGACAAGCTTTATACATACACTAGAAATATATTAACAGAAAGTTTTCACACTCAAGAGTCAACATGAATTAAGTGAAACAGGCAGTTGATCAATGATTTGCAAATTTAACATAACAATGCATGATGCCTAGCTGTGGAATTCCAAATTGAGCAGGTTTATGTCCATACAAACAGCAGATGCAAATCTCAAATATGTTGGCTAATGTTCCTAAACTCATGGATCAAGTAAAATCATGTTTAAACAAGGAAGTGGTAATGTATTGCAGGCTGTGGCAGAAAATGAAAAATGCACATGGGTAGTCCATCATGGAAACATCAGTTCAATTGCAATCAAGTCATGGAAATAAGGTATACACAT